ATTATCAACGCTCGTCTTTTGGTGGCGGCTCGCGCCAACAAAACCTTGTAAATGGTTGTATTCAAGCCTTCAGGGAGTGTGTCGCATGAGCAACAAGAAACGGCCAAGCGATCTAGCTTCGACCGTTCGCAACTCCGCGATGTGAAACCAGTACAGAATATTGAGAAACGCTTCTTCCTTTGTCATTCAAACTCCGTCGTATCGCGAGCTCCGCTGCTTTCTGCCCCGACTCACATCGCTCTATATATAGTTACGTTCCCGTCAGTTTGTGTGTCTAAAGATTGAACCACTAGCACGACAGACTGGAAGCAGCGAAGGACATTGCGCTGACAGCTGTGTAGCACGGGCAGATGGGCATGCTAATAAGTGGAAAACTGCGCTATTGTTTCGCGCACCCCACATAAGAATCAAGATGAATCCTTTTGCATACCAAATGCTGATCATCAGGCAAATCCTAATTGACCGGCAGGTGTACCGTTTTTGTCCTGTATGTTGGCATGGACCTCATTTCGGATATAGTCTCTTATGGGATGGCAGCAAGCGTGTTGGGGTTACTCAGCACGGACTCAAGCATGCTTGAGTACGCTCGTGCGCGTGCAACTCAGAGCGTACATTAATGCCCTTGTGCATTCGGACCAAAGCGGCACACGATGTAACATGTTGTAACTTGGCGGTTTTGCGTGCAAACCTGTTTACATGCAGTAGAAAAACTCACTGGCCTTGCAGGAAGTGCGCCCAGCGTGAAGCATGGATATCCTCAATGAGTCAAATGCATTGGCTTTGCTTTCGGATAAGCTTTTTACTTTTCCGCTGGTGAGAATTCCCGAGCAGAATATTGCCATAGTTCATCACTGTGCCTTCTAATCGTTTAGCATACTTTTCTGGTGTGGTCTCCAACGGCTATCTAACGTTGTTTTCCACAATGCAATTGGCAGCTAGCCGTTCTGTATGTAACTGTGCTTGGGCTTTGCAATCCCCATGAGATACAACGAGGAATTAAGCTCTTTCTACGGAGAGGTCCGTGGACATGCTAGGAAGTGCAAAGTCTGGTTGGGCTTGCAGGTTGTGGGTTCCATGCACAGAAGACAGCCAAAGCAGGAACGTGTGTAGTTGCGATCTGCAAGTCGCGTGTGCGCGATACTATCGGCTAGGAGAGAGCATGGGATATCCAATTGAATGGTTAGCAGACCAGCCGGAAATGGCACAGGTGCAGCAAATTCAATGGAGGAGAATGTTTGCTCACGGCAGCAGATTTAGTCAAAATTATTTTTCGCGCCTATAAATCACGCCCAAAGGGTGGATATAGTCTATCCTACCTGTGTGGCGATCGAAAAAGATAGACCAAATAAGCCTGGATGCTTCAGCGTCGCGACAGAACGGCTTCTTAATTGCAAAGAGCCGTGTCCGACTAGAAGAGAATGAAATGAGGAGTTTATAGCGGATTTTAAAACGGCCTTACGGATAGGTGCTTTATTGTTGCCCAGGTGTTTGGTGCAATGGTGATTTGTTAGACAGACGAAACGGGGAATAAAGGGGAGAATGCTAAAGATATTTTCGGCGAGTTAATGTATTTTTCAGTTAACACGCGTACATGTGGTTGCGATGGAAGAGGTTTGCGGACGTTTACAGTTCAGGCCACTGAGCACGCAAATAGCGTTCGACTGTATGCTGTAGCATGTAACACTTTTGT